ACCTGTAGTCAGCTTCTGTACTTCCTGTTTCACTGTGACTCAAATGCCACTTCCCAGTGAGGAGTTCTCTGGCTGAGTCCTCTAAGACTGTCCATCGTCCAGCGCTCTCCCCAAGTCCTCACAACACAATCACTGCCCTGCATGCTAGCTATGGAAGCCTCTTCTCTTTGCCCTGGCACACGAGCTCCAGGACAAGGATGTTTATCCATTTTGCTCTCTGGTGTCGTCTTATCACCTGTGTGTGCGGTGTTGGCCATCTAGACATTGCTCAATACGTATCTGTTGAGTGAGTGATACATGTCTTAACAGTATTCACCACGTAGCAGATATGGGGGGAGGAGCTTTGGTAGCTCCCTTCTTACGGCTAGTCTTCAATGTGTTTTCAGGTAGGTAGCACTATCTGTCAAAGACGACACCCCAAAGTGGGAGAGGTTAAAAACCCAGCAGAGGCCAACTTGTCCACAGGCAAAACAGGGTTGGGGGCAGATGTAGATGTTCAAGGGACCAGGGGTCTGCCTTTTACTTTGGTTTCAGGTGTGGATGCTCCTCCCTCACAACATGGACATGAGGCTCCAACAGCAGGTCTGGAGGTGTGTCGGGGGCATCATCCCTCAAAAGCGGGCCTCCCTCTCCCTCAGAATCCTCAACCATGAAGCCAACTGCTCACTGTTTCTGTTTTCCAGTCCAGTCCAGATGCTCAAGTTGTAATATAATGAGCAGTACCCTGCTGAGTAGCCAAGGCATTCAACTTGAGTATTGAGAGAATGGTAGAAATATTCTTTCCCGTGGTTTTCTTATGGGATCTTAATGTTGACAGTGTGGAATCTGCCTCACAGGGCTGTTGTGCAGATGCAGGAGACCATGTGGTTATCATTCTCAGCACCATGCCTGGCACACAGGCTTGGTGAATGCTAGCTGCTACAGTTATTGACTGGGAGGTGGCCAACGTCTGATTTCAGTTGGTAGACTAGAGTATGGGGTATGGATTTCACTGACCCCTGCTTCAATCATCCACTAAACTGTTTCCTGGATCTGCACTGAGACTAGGATTCCTTGTTCAAGGTCACATGGCCGGGACTTCTAAAAGGCCTTGATCAGGATACTTTTCAGGATACCCAACTTCCTTATTATGCTTGTTTCTGCCGGGAGGTAATTGCTGCCATCTTTGCTGGGCTGCACAATTTGAGGTATAATTTACATAAGTATCAATTGCCACCATGACCAAGGCATGAAAAATAATTACCTCAAGTGGAAACTGGGGTTGGGCCTATGAATGGAGGCCTGACTTGTATGAGTTACAAATGAGCTGCCACTTCTGGAGCAATATGTGCTTGCTGGATCTTGGGACAGCTGCAGTCAACCTGAGGCTGTTTCCAAACACCTGCTATGCAAGTTCCAGGAGGTCATGAGTCCTGACTCTGGCATCAAAATCCCTGAAGAGCTGGGTGTTGCACTGCACCTGCAATCCCAACACCACCGAGGAGGAGTGTGAGGCTAGCATGGGTTACATGGCAGACTCCAGGCCAGGCTGGGCTGCATATTGAGATACTGTTTCTGTGGGCTGGGAATGTAGTTCAGTGATAGCATACTTACCCAGCATGCCCAAGGTACTGGGTTCAATGCCCAATACCACCAAATAAATCCCTGCTAAGAGTTCTTACGGCTGAGATATCTCCCCATTGTCCAATATGGAAGTCACTGTTTTCAGTTTCCTCTGCTGGCTTTGCTTCCTAGTTGTACTTGGCAGGACTTTCTTCCCACTCATGAGAATGACCATGAACAATGGGTTTCATCTCTTGCCCTTACCACGGCCAGTATCTGCTGCACACATGGACCCAGGGGCCATCTCTTAGTCCTGAAAAGTTGATGATGGCATCTGTGACATGGGAGGTCTGTCATCCCGAGGCAAGGGTACAAATTCTGCCAGCCTTTCTACTGCCATCTGGAAGCAACCCTGGGAACCACGTTTGCAGGTCACAAATATTACTGTTGTTCAACGGCATGAGAGACTAATTTGGGGCTTACTAGAAACGGGAGGCTAAAGACTGAGGAGCCATGGCCTATGAGGGTAAAGCTAAGACTGAGCAAAACTACATGTTCTAGATGTAATCAACACTCTGAGAACACTGAAAGTACCCACAGCTTGGATCGAAGATCACCAATAAACAGTACCCCAACTTTATTTTTCCTGCTTTCACCCTTACTGTAATCACCACAGCGACAGAGTCCTTGTTTGTATCTCCAGAAACACTGCAATGTTGGAGGACTGACGAGCCTGGTGACAGATACCCCGAGACTGGAAGGAGTTCTGAGAAGAAAATCTACAATAATGCAAAGCACAAACTCCTGACTAAGACTTCAGCTCTAACCCTGTCCTGTCAGGGCAACTGTGAGAGCTCCGTAGTCTCCGAATGCGCCGAATGCGTGTGATTAGTGAAACGGAAGACCCTGTCTTCCCTTTGAGATGGTTACAAACGTGGAAAGCATAAGAGCTGGCTCATTTGGAATATTGGGTAAGCGGTATTAGTGTCATTAGTGTATCTAAAATGTAGATATTTAGTAATACTTTGCAGTGCGCTTGTAAAAAGTAGTGGAAAATGCCCTTGGCCTGTAAAATATGTTTAATGAATGGTACTTTTGTTAGTCTTGTCTCTGCCAAGTCTTTACACGTTTGACCTTGAGCAAAGTCAATTTTTTGTCACCAGTAAAATTCAGAGTGCTTTTATTCTACCTGAGTCCTTTAAAGACTGAGTGGCAGCTGAAGATAATTACACACAACTCACTTGCATACGGACGGCCAGAAATGGGCACCCCGTGCTGGAGTGAAACACCCAGGAGTGGGCACCAGAGACTTGGGCTCTGCCCTGACCCTTTAACCAAGTGACTGCAGGCAAAGTCAAATAGCCTGACCCTCCATGCTCGTGCTTCTGACCTCTGCCTGGGAGCAAGTATTGCTCCTTAAAGGCAAAGGCATTCTTCCCATTTAATTAACTTGGTACCCAGCAAGGTCACCTCCACATGAATTACAAAGTACTCGGGGGCCATTTTTAATCATTAGCAAACTGCCTACTGGTGGATTTTATTCTGATTTGGATCTGATTCGTTGAATCCCTGAGCTGGTGTCCTAAAATATGTTCCTTGACAACCTTACCATACTTAATGTTACTTGAACGTAACTGGTAGCAGAAAAGTTTTGATAAGTAGGAAAGCTTTTCTAGTACGGCCGCTTTAAGGACACAAGGACACAGTTCCCTAATGCCTATCTCTAGTGGGTCCCACTCCTTTGCGGTTCCCTGTTTCTATTTTCTAAAGTATTTATTCCCAGAGTGAAGGTGGGTGGTCTATACTGCAGAGGCCAGGGGCTGATCTCTAATCTCCACGGGTGTCTACGGGTCTCCACTAAGTGGGAAAGCAACAGACTGCACACAGAACAAAAGCATGGGGCTTCCTGGTGCCGGAGACAGGTCTTGAGGTGGAGCTTCTTGGCTGGAAGAGATATGTGTTCCCACTATCTATATGACATTTCAGGCATTATTTGACCTCGGAAGGCTTCGATACAAGAGGGACCCTTATAGAGTTGATCGAAGGAAGGTATCGAGGGCCAAACTGGTCAGGGTCACGATCACTGTGCTCTCCAACCCACTGCTAAGGAACAGGAGCTCCAGGGATTATTGTGTTATTGAGAATCATCAGTGCTCTTATAACATTTTCTGTACCACCCCAAACCCTCCATCTCCTTCCTTTATTCCTTCCCCTTGTCTCCTCCAAAACCTGAGGGGATTTATTAAAGGTTACCTCACGCTAGCCTCATTCAACCCCCTCAGCTAGATTACGCGTCCCTTTGTAGCCTTTCATTCATTGTATCATAATTTCCAGTTTATTTACTCTTCCCGCCAAACACAGGATCCATTCTATTCCCAAATGCCTGAAACAGTGCAGTATAAGACGTAAGATGCTCGACAAGTTTATTAAGTGTACCAGGATATGCTTCTCATTCACTGCATTTTAATGTTTTTCTAGATCACTATAATAGCTAAGCAAATGGAAGTACATGCCAGTATTTTTTTTTTTTTTTTAATAAAACACAAAAAATGTTAGAGGCTCAGCATCAAATAAGCTCCCTGGTACCAGATCAACCTGCTGAGTTCCTTCAAGTCATCACGGACCAGCATCACAGCCTGCACGGCGCATTCAGGATCACAGAATAAAACGCAATGTTTTTCACCTCATTTTACAAAAACAACAAAATTCTATAGGAAAAAGAACGAACAGCCTCATTTATAAACAGCAATTTAATATATTCAAAGTAACAAAACCTAGCAAGATACAAGATCTAAAAACTAAAGTTCCAGTTTTCTCAGAAAAGGCACTTACTGGGCCCTCATTGGCTGCCCTTCCTCCTGCCCTCACCAGCACTGGAGGGTGGCCCTCGCATGGCCCAGCTGACCTCGTACTGCTCCGGACAACACTGTGGTTCTTTCTTCTGAAGCCTGGCCGCGAACACCTGGGCTTTCATCCCGGTGATTTCCAGGTTGCTTTGGGGACTCCAAGAGCATTCATATTCCGATGATTGGTGTGAGGCGCCTGTCTGTAACTAAGGTATCGCTGCTGAACAAAACCTTCCATAAGAAGCCTTTCTGGGTACCCAGAGAGAATTCTCTAAAGGAAGCACACACACGCCCCTCCCCAACCGACTCAGCATCTCCCAGAACAGCTATTACCTTTCGTGTAGATAAGACCCATGATTATCACTAAGAGAACTAATCTGGGGCCATCTCTTCCCAGAGCCTCCTCCAACCCCTCAAGAGGTTTTAACCTGTCGGTCAAGATGTAAGGGTGGTGCTTGCGGTGAAGCTGTTTTCAGCTGGGAAGCAAAGACGTTCTGCGGCCCTTGAGGCGATCGTCCGGTGCAGACCCTTCGGGTCTCCCAAAACACGTCTCACCGTCTCGGAAGCGTGCGATGAGGCTCTTCCCCCCCCCCCCCCCCCCCCCCCCCCCCCGTGTCCTCCACAAGCCGAAACCGCACCGAGTAGGCGGCCGTCCGATCAGTGGGCGTGGGGAGGCGGCCAGGGCCCGGGCTCGCCGTCCCGGCCATCCTGCTCGCCCTCGGCGGGAGGAGGCAGGGCGGCCCCACTCTCAGGCTTCTGCCACATGCCTTCGGGCAGGCGGTGCCCGGCGAGCCACCCCAGAGACTGCGCCAACAGGCCAGGGAAGACGGCGGCGGGAGCACCAGGAGGTCGCGGCGAGCACCTCGGAGCCCGCCCACGGCCGCGCAGCCGCAGTCCGCGCTCCCGGCTTCCTCGGCCAAGATGGCGGCCGGGGGCAGCGCGCAGCCCTCCGGCTCCCTCCCGGGCTGGCGGCGTGCACCGGCTGCTGCAGGTGCAGGCGCCGCGGGGCGTGTGTGCCTGTGCCGTGGGGTAAACGCCCGAAAGCAGCCACTCAGGGTGGGGAAGCTTCTCGGTGCGAGAGCTTGCACAGAGTTCGGGCACCTTTTTTTTTTTTCTTATCTGAGATGTTGAGGCTTAAGTGCGGCGTGCATAGAGACAAGGCTGGCATGGTAAGTTAGAAAAGGGCCTCTGACAGGATGCTAGGGACATTAAAATTTATCAGGACACCTGGGGAAAGACTGCAGCCTTTTGTCTACGGCCCCGGTGGCATGTGGCGAGGATGCTTCTGAGAGTGCGGAAGAGGATCTTGGAGGCAGCCCGCAACACTGGTCCGTGGTTAATTGCAAGGTGAGGACAGCACACCGCGGTGATGAGAGATAAACCGAGAAAGCACATACCACGCGCAGCAGCGGCTGGTGACTGACTGGCTGGAGGAAAGGAAACGTTTCCCCCAATCAAAACTACTCTCATTTCTCCCCTCTTTTAACCGCGCAACCCCAGCTGTTTCCCACTTCGTATCCCTCCTCCTCCCCATTCTGAAAATTCCCTCTCCTACCAGTATCTCCATCTTTTCAAATCCTATCCACTCTTCAGGGCTAAGCTTAAACATCGCCTTTCCAAAGTCTTCCGTGGAGGTCATGCATAGAATTTATTTGCTGTTGCTTCTGAGTCGTCACAGCAATTATGTCCGTTTAACATCCAAGTACTCCGTACTCACTGTTATTTCTGAATCACCATAGCAGTTATATTTATTTAACATCCGTGTGCTGTGTTTTGTTCTAAAAGAATTTTCTCCTGTATTCATTTGATTCTCATTAAAGTACTGCTGTTATCACCTACATTTTACAAATGGTTGTATTTTTCCTGTGGCATTTGCTATTTGCCTACTACATAATCTTGGACAAGTTAACTAAACCTCTTTGCCCTTCAGTTGCATTATTGATAAAAAAAAAAAAAAGAATATAATAAACCCGTCAGTGGTGGCGTACACCTTTGATGCCAATACTCAGGAGGCAGAGGCCGATGGATCTCTGCCAGTTCAAGGTTAGCTCACTCTACAAATCGAGTTCCAGGACAGCCAGAGCTATTACACAGAGAAATACTGTCTCGAAAAACCAAAACCAAAACAACAACAACAACAAAAAGAATTCAAATCTAGCCTGGGCTATATAGCATGACCCTGTCTAAAAAAAAAAAAAAAAAAAAAGAAAGAAAGAAAGAAAGGAACTTTGAAAAATATATACCCATTAATATCATATGACTTACAAAAACTGAAGTGTGTGAATGAGGCAGGAAGATGTTTATTATAGTCTAGCTTGAGGCAATTGTTAGTTAGCATTGTGCCAAACGTTTTATGTACAATATAATTTAGTCCTCCCAAATCCCTATTAGCAAAGTATTATTATCCTCATTTTACAAATGGGAAAACAGTCACAGAGAGGTTAAATTACCTGCCTCAAACCATTCATCTGTTCTGTGCTAGACTGGAAATGCAAACCCAGATCTCTGAAGTCTTTCCAGGTCCATGATCACCGGCTGGACTGCCCTGCCAGTGCCCTCTTAGGAGGACAGTGCTGAGGATAAAGTAATGTACCTGTTGCAGCAAGACTGTTCATGGAAAGATGCAGGAGAATGTCTGAGGAAAGGAGCATGCAGGAATAGGACCAATGTTAAGAGACAAATTAGCAATAATTTAGATGGTTTTAAAAATACTAACAATACACCGGGCGGTGGTGCCACACACCTTTAATCCCAGCACTCAGGAGGCAGAGCCAGGAGGATCTCTGTGAGTTTGAGGCCAGCCTGGTCTACAGAATGAGATCCAAGACAAGCACCAAAACTACACAGAGAAACCCTGTCTCGAAAAATCAACAACAACAAAAAAATTACTAACAATACTTATGTCAGGTGAACTATTATTTTTTATTAAAATATCAGCTAGTTTAAATCTACTTTCTTCAAAGCTTCCCAAAGTTCCCCCACCCCACTTTCTAAATTAACAAATAGCTTCACTTCAGTGTTATCCTTACTGTATCTCTCAAGTCATTTAAGAAACAGATTTTTAAAAATTTATTCTTCGAGACTTTCACACTCATATATAATGAAATATGGTCATACCCACTTCCATCTCCCTCTGGATCCCCCCAAAACACTACCCTTCCTGTTTAATTTCTTCATCTTCTTCCTCTTCCCCTTTACCTCCTCCTCCTCCTCTTTCCTCCTTCTCCTCCTCCTCTTCCCTCCTCCCCTTCCTCCCCTTCTTCCTCCTCCTCCTCCTCCCTCCTCCTCCTCCTCCTCTTTCTCTTCCCTCCTCTTCCCTCCTTCTCCTCCTCCTCTTCCCTCCTCCTCCTCCTTCTCTTCCTCCTCTTCCCTCCTTCTCCTCCTCCTCTTCCTCCTCTTCCCTCCTCTTCCTCCTCTTCCCTCCTTCTCCTCCTCCTCCTCCTCCTCTTCCCTCCTCCTCCTCTTCCCTCCTTCTCCTCCTCCTCCTCCTCTTCCCTCCTCTTCCCTCCTCCTCCTCCTCTTCCCTCCTTCTCCTCCTCCTCCTCCTCCTCCTCCTCTTCCCTCCTCTTCCCTCCTCCTCCTCCTCTTCCCTCCTTCTCCTCCTCCTCCTCCTCCTCCTCCTCTTCCCTCCTCTTCCCTCCTCCTCCTCTTCCCTCCTTCTCCTCCTCCTCCTCCTCCTCTTCCCTCCTCTTCCCTCCTCCTCCTCCTCTTCCCTCCTTCTCCTCCTCCTCCTCCTCCTCCTCCTCCTCCTCCTCCTCCTCCTCTTCCCTCCTTCTCCTTTTAAATAACCACTAAGTCAGGTTAGTTCTCCCATGTAGGCAGGGGTATGGGGTTATCCACTAGAACATGGGCAACCTATCCCTGCCTGCACCCCAAAAGAAGAATGATTCCCTCTCCCCAGCAGCTAACTAACAACTATCGATAGCGCCTCGGGTGGGGGCCTCTTGAGCACCTCCCCCATCCATGCTGGAACTTTGCTTGTCTTGGTCTTGTGCAGGGAGCCACAGGTGCTGTAGGTTCTTACGTGCACCAGTGTTGCTAAAAGTCCTTACCTGTAGGGGAGACATAAAGTCTGCTCTTCCTCCTAAGATCTCAACGGCAAACCAAGGTACAGTTCCACCAGCACTCACTCTGGGAAACCCATGAGTTCATTAGGTTTACTTACAAAGCCATGGGTAGCCTTACTGTACTGAAACATCTGTACACAACACCACGTGGAAAGACCCTGTCTCCAAAAACCAAAACCATCCAAACCAAACCAAACAAAGCAGTTAGTTGCCACACAGCAGTCATTGACCAGTGGGCCCATCTTGTCCATCAGGTTGGGATTATAGCATGCAGGGTCTGGTGCTGGGTAAGACCACTGATGCCTTTTCTCCCCCGGCAGCCTGCCTAGCACCTTCCAGTTCCAGCTGGCAGCAAGGAGGACATTTGCCATTGATTTTATGTCCCGAAGTTAAGTATGTTGTGTCTTCAGCAATAGGCCCTTACCATGTAGTTATGATGGATAACCAAGAGCAAGGCAATAGCTTGAGATTTCTTAGAGACCTCTGGGGCCTCCTCCCTGGTTAGTGCTCCTAGGGAGGTATTCTGTGCCTCTTGTACTGCCATTTTTATTTAATAACCCATGGGTTCTGGGAACAACGTTGTCCATCCTTGCAGGATACTTAACATTTGAACACCTTTTTAAAAATGTATTTTTAAATTACCTTACTGCTAGTGGGTTTCCACCAAGGTTTTCCACATATCCTTAATTGTGGTTGACTCCTGTCCCCTTCCCCACCCAGCCCTGTCCCAGTTCAAACCTTAACCTCCAGTGCTCCCCGACCCCCACCTGCCATCTTCTTCCATATCACGTGTGTTCTACTCCACCCCCCATTATAATTCTTGACTGGTTGTGAGACAGTGGGGTTCCACATGACTTTTTCATGCCTGTTTCCCTTGGGCTACCCCTCCCCATTCCCGGATCCCCTCCCTGCCTAAGCCTTCCATGCCCCAGTACTCCACATCTATGCTTTTGTTTTATTTATAACCTCTCCCTTTCCCTTAAAGTGAATGTCCCTTTCTAGTTCCCTGGCTTCACTTGGGCTGAGTTAAGCACACAAAACAGATGGTTTGGAACTGGGATCGGCCTACGGGAGAGAATGTGCGGCGTTGGTCTTCCTGGGCCTTGGTGACCTCACTTGGTATAATTTTTTCCAGCTCTATCCACTTACCAGAAAATTTTATGATTTCATTTTTCAATACTTACTTTTTGAACAAGAACAAACTACTGACACTGTGAACCTGACAGACATTACAGTAGACGAAAGATACAAAAGATACAGATGAATTCCATGTATTCAAGGAGATATCTACTCTAGGATTCTGTGTGTTTAAGGCAAGGTAAACTCATCTAGGTGATACAATTAGGACCGTGGGGACGGGGGGTGGGTCTGACTAGAAAGGGGTGGCAGGAACTTTCTGGGCCGATGAACGTTCTCTATGTCTCCAGTATATTATGCGTTGGTTACAACTTGCCAAACTATATACTTACTGCCTATGCATTTCACAGTTTACCAGTTACACTCCAGAATTATAAAAACAGAGACTCTCATAAGTTCAATTAATAGGCCTTTAGATGTGGGCGGGGGTGGGGTGGGCGGGCATGGTAGGTGCATAGACTTGGTTTTATCCTTGCCAGTCCCTAGACACTACAGTGTTGTATGGAAGGAACATGAGCAGCAACTTTCCTCCAGTTCTTACTGTATCTGCCGTGTCCTGGATACTTTCCAAACAGTCTGTACCTGAGCTATGGGAAGGGAGGAAGGGGCTTTCTCTTTGGTAGGGGGCGTGGCAAGCACTTCGGTGACTGTCGATCAGAATCTTGAGGGTCCTTCGTCGCGCTTGGTTCGTAGCACGGCGTAGCCTGAGGAGGGGGTCAGGGGTTACGGTGGAAGTACACAATTGCAGAGTGAAGTCTCCTGGAATGCCTGGCACTTGGTGGAGGCATGGGAAAGGTGACAGGGTGCTGAGCCACGTTCTTACCCATCATCCTGTGACCTTGCGCAGGACACTGTACCCAGGGCCTGCGTGTCCTCGTCACTGGGCTCAGGGACTCTTGCTTGGTCCATCCTATGGGGGTTATTTTGAGGTTCAAATAAGATTGTGAAGTTTTTGTTTTTTTTTTTTTAGAGAAGTGATAGATAGAAAAGTCCCAGCAATGAACGTGTAACTGACCTCTCATACAGACATTTCGGAATGAGTTTACACATTCCTAGTTCAAAAAAAAATGTCTGGCCAAAAAAGATTAAACAAAGAAACGTCAAGTACAGACGCTGCATCGGGGCCAGTGAATACTTTGGTGG